GCAGTTAGAATGTTATGTTACACTATTAGGGGGCATTCCATGTGACCTTTGCACACCACGCATTTGGTGATTGAGGCAGACCTGAGATTTAAATTGGTTTTAAGCAACATTTCTACTTAGTCTTTTCTTTAAAAGAATCAGAAAAAAATGTGCTGATCTTCTTGGGTCTGGTCTAAAGAATTAAAACAGGAAAGGAGGATAGAATCATTTAGTTACTGGATGGAGACGCTATTCTACTACTCTTCTCATGTTTTGAAAGGATACTTCCTTCACATGCCAAAGTAATAAGATCGTAATATCTGGGCTTGCTCTTTAACACAATATTATTGTGTTTTGTCATTTCTTCAGTATTTGTGCCATTCAGTATTTGTGCCTAAACTGCATCTGAATGATTGTATTCCCATAACTTCTGTATCATACAATTCTTCAGAAAAGTAGACTAGCCCTAAGAAAAAGGTAAAATTGTAAATACGCCATGTTGAAGCACCAGTCACAAATGAAATGGTGTGGACAAAGACATATTTTAGTGTGGCCAACTAAAGTAGTGATAGTAATCAGAAAATAGGGCAGTTTAAACTTAGCATGAATCAGTGCGGTATGGGTATTGCTATGCCTGAAATATGTATGACTTTGTTTCAACGTGTCTACTCAGCTACAAAGCTCACTACATAACTTTGCACCAATTGCTATCTCTCCGCCATAACGTATCTTACAGTATTTGTTTTGTAAAAGCACATACAAACCACTTCAGACCAAACCATATTAAACAATAAGAGACATCTCCCCACAAAGTTTCAATAAAACTTACTCCACAAGCTTAACTTTCTTTCATGTAAGTATTTCATGACGAATATCTAGGTGAGGTTTTGCTTATTAGATTTATAGCTTGTTTTCTTGTTCAGCAGCATACACAGAACTTCCTGCTTGCCTTTTTCTGCAAAACAACAATCCTATGAAGTAGATTGGCTCAAAGAGAGCGAGCGGCATAAGGTCGCATCACTGAGCTCCAAGTGAACTTGATGGTGCCTGGCTCAGCCACTGCACCTCTCTTACCTGCTCAAGAGTGTTAAAAGTCTGAACAAATAATAAAATTGCCTCTTTCCAAAAACAAAACAAAGAAATGATCAGTCTTATCATAATCCCATGTGGCCTCAGAAAAGCCTGCCATGTATTCCCACTACCTAACCTATGTTGTCAGTGCATATACCTCTGCTTGTCTGGCTATCTGGGATCTTCATAAAAATAAATAGGAAGAACATACCATCCTAAGCAGTTTGAATAAAGGGCCTTAATTAAAAGTAAGGTGGAAAATGTGTTTATATTGGAGTGGTCAGGTTGCTTGACACTAATTGTTTCAGTAAGTATCAAAATGATGTACATCTGTTATTGATGTCTTATGATATATGGTAGTCTGAAATTAAAAGGAAATAGTTTACCTCATGAGTACATGTAGCATAGGTGAATTTTCTGATTCATAATTCAATTTCTTTGTTTGTGATATGGTGTATGTCTTTTTTATTCTTTATGGTGTGTTTTTAATCATTTCAGAATTTAATTTGAGAACATTTTTTTTTCCAGGGAAAAAATGTTCTGAATTAGTTCTAAATCTAATTATTCAAAATCTATGACATTCTTTATTGTTTCAGGAAAAATGGAAAACTATGAACTGATTCACTCTAGCAGAGTGAGATTCATATATCCCAATGAAGAAGAAATTGGGGACCTTGCGTTTTTGGTTGCTGAGAAGATGAAAAGCGTCATGAAATCCCCGTCCCTGAATCTACTCCTTTATGTATTGGCATTTCAGGTCAATATTACAGAGGGGATTGCTCAGGCCTACAGTTCCCTCCAGCCTAAAACACTGATCCTAACTAGCTCAGATTTGTTTCTTTTCAACGAGGACTACATCAGCTACCCACGGCCTGAGTTTGCAAAAGAGCCACCAAAGAGGGATAAGTATCAGCTTGCAGATGGAAGAAGAATCCGCGACCTAGATCGGGTGCTCATGGGCTACCAGGCCTATCCCCAGGCACTCACGTTTGTTTTTGACGACATTCAGAATCACGATCTCATGCAGAACCTGACCTTGGATCACTTCGGCAATGTCTTCAGTTTCCCTAAAGGACAGGCTGCACAAGAGGGTAATGTCAGCCAAGAGGTGCTCTGGTGTGTCTTTATCCCAAGTCCTGATAGCCGCGAAAAACTGATCTCACTACTTGCTAGGCAGTGGGAGATATTGTGTGGTAGGGAGTTGCCTTTGGAGCTCACCGGATAATCTTGTTGGGTTTATATTTCAGCTCATCAGGTCTACCGATTATGAATTAAAGCACAGTACTGACTGAATTAACCCTGGCTCAGCATTGTCTTCACAGCAATGTCACGTTACACTGGGGTGATGGGTTGTTTTTTTTCCTGTGCATTGCCATTGGTATTTCTTGTGCGGTGGGGGTGGGGTTTACTACACAACTTAAGCTGCTAAATGATTATCTTGGGATTTTCTAAACTCTGTTTTTATGTAGCAAGTAACATGTTCCAGATTCCTAAATAAGCATTCTAGGCCACTGTATGGAATAAAAGGAGTCAGCTTTCATATTTCCATTTAGGGCTGTTAAAGTTTCCACTGTGTTTTTTGTACAATGCTATTCTATACAAATATATACACACACATAAAAATAATGGTATCAAAAGTTGCTTGTGCTACGTTAAGGTGCAATGTTCTTTGTACAAGATGTACATTGCTTATACTGCTAATAATTATTTAATGATAATTTCTTATAATTTTTACATTTTGTCTTTTTATGATGTATCATTTTTTTTAATTTTGTCAGCTAATTGTGAACATGATAGAATTCACCTAATTGAATGTTGATTTTACATGTGATTTAAATTTTGACAAGTTCGAAAAAAGTTACTGGGTTGATTTCAACACTGCAGACAGAATGATTGGTCAGGAATGGTAATAATTATTTGATGCCAACAAATAATGAGATATTTGTTGTTAGCACCTTGTTTCTGTTGCCAAATTTCTCAAAAATAATAAACTGAATTTTGACACAACTGTTGTTTACTCAAATTTATTTTTAGGATGCAATCAGAGTCTTAGTAATTTGATTACAGTGCAGGTCAGAAGGTGGTGAAGTAAATGAAAAGACAAAAGAGACTATGAAAGAATTGATCCTAATCCTGTGCAAAATATTCCAGAATACATTTTTATAAAAGGTGTATAAAAGAACCCTGATCTTCTCTCCCTTCTATCCCATTAACCTGCAAATAGCTTGGTTTTCGTCCATTTGCTTTAATTCAAACTTAAAATCTTACTGAACTACATCTCATTTTTCAAGAAAAAAGCTTTCTTGTAAGCACTACTTGCTGGAGAAGATGGGGCTATTAAAATCAGGCTTCATTTCTAGGCTTCCAATAGGTGCCTGTTGTCTCCTGTGGGTAAGAGAAAAATGTAAATGGGTAAGGGTCGTAGTTGATTTAAATAGTTCAGTGCCTTCTGGATCGAAATTCAGAATACAAGTTGAAAACATTATTAGGAACAACTGCAAAAGAATTATTTTAAACTTTCTAGNGTTCAAATCTCACTGGCTCAGGGTTGACTCAGCCTTCCATCCTGCCGAGGTGGGTGAAATGAGGACCCGGATTGTTGTTGGGGGCAATATGATGACTCTGTAAACCACTTAGAGAGGGCTGAAAGCCCTAGGAAGCGGTATATAAGTCTGCTATTGCTATTGCTATTGATACCAAAGGCTTGGAGGTTTCTATTTAAATAACACATTTCATTAGGTGGCACAGCTGACTTATGTAACCACATCTGGATTTTTATTTTGAGATAACTAAAGTGGAGTAAAGTACCAGAATGTCAAATTATGGCCTGTGGTAAACTTTAATCATGTTATTATAATTGAAACAAGAACAAGCATATTTGTTTTCGTAAATAGGTAGGCAGGCAGGTAGGTGATAACGGAGAGATAGACGGATAAATCAATCTTCATTAAAGTCACAGACCAAAATGTAACTGAATGGCACTCATTTTTAACAATAACATTTATAATAGAAGTCACTATGAGCAACACATTTTAATATCTGCAGTAAACTGAACCTTGATTTACATAGATGTAGAGTGGAACCTAGACTTTCGGTGCCACCAAAGAAAAAAAAATTAATTCAGGTGTGTGCAAAATGTTCAGTGGTATTTGGGGAGAGTGAGACTGAGCTGTTAAGATACCGCTCTGTCTTAGAATGGTAATCAGGATTTCCTATGGCTATGAAGTACACATCAAATTCAGGCAGTCTTCATTTATTTACTGTACCAATCTTGCTCATAGCTCAGGTGCTGCAGTGGTGGGTTCTACGAGTATATTAAAATCACTGCAGACATAATAAAATGTAATGTTAATTCAAAAATAAAATAAACATCTTAATAATTTTGGGACTTCAATCTGAATGTCAATAATTGCTATAAAAGATGCCAAAAATTATTGGAAACTATGATACATGCAGGTTTTTTTTTTTCAATAGATACCAAAGCAGCCTTTGCATATCTGTTCCTTTCCTTATATCAATAATATAATTTGGTACTGGTTGTCATTTTATAGTACAAAAAAATAATAGTAACATTTTTGTTTTAATCTGTGATGTAATAAAATTCAATCTACCTGTTCATTTATTATCTCTCTACTAGCAAATATGTTTCCTCTTATTTTTGAATCTAGAGGATTTTCTCATAATCTTTTCATTTTTAGTCTGGAACACTGGAAGTTTTTAAGAAGATGCTGGATAACCATTTGTCTGGGGTGGTGTAGGGTTTCCTGCCTAAGCAGGGGGTTGGACTAGAAAATCTCCAAGGTTCCTTCCAACTCTGTTATTCTAATCTAGAACCTAACTTTTTTCACCATTGAATTTCATACAGTACTGCATTCTTACCACTGCTCCACCAGTAATTCCCCGTCTGATAAGTTTTTGTGTCTGGGCATATGTTTGTTTTCCTATTTCAGATATACAGTAAAATTGGGTGAGAACACCCTGTCTATGTTGGGGTGCAATTACATCTGCAAGAAGGAAGGAGAAGAGAAAAAGTGCTGCTCTGGACACTGGGGTCCTCAATGCTATGGTAAGTCTTCGCCTGTACAACACATATCACATAGCCAGGGAGTCAGAGGTTTATAGGATGGTTTGGAAAGCATGTTTGCTTGACAAGCTTTTGGAGTTCGTATGTACTGAAGCCATGGAGCTCTTGAAATCCAGTAAGGAATAAGATTTAAACACTGGCCCATACAGAGGCAGGCAGCATCAGCATGCTATATAATTGAAATAATAAATACCTTCCCTTCTTTTGCAAGCAATGATTTAATCCATTTACAAACATCCCCAGTCATCACGTATTGTACAGGCAATGAACAATGCTGACATACAATAGCAAAAGGAGAGCATTTTTTTTAAAAAAAAACATGTTGCAGACATAACACAACAATTGCACATTTGACATGCAACAGTCAATCCCAATCAAGTCAATATGCAAAGAAGGGCCTCCAATTGTAATGGCATTTAGGACTAACCTTGGGAGACAGGAAGAAGAGCCACAGAGTAGACAACAGTCAGAAAAGAAGCAGCTAAGCCTGCAGAAGGAAGGCAAGGGGCATGGCAAATGTCTCAGAGGGGACTCTCATTTTCTTGAGCTGTGAAGATGAGGGGAAAAGATGTACTTTTAGATTTGGAAGATTCTGTTATTTTGAAGGAACCAGATTTCAGGAAGGCTCCCTGTTATCTTGGGTGGCCCAAAGAAACAAAATTGGACCCTGGTGTTTATATGACTAGAGCTCTCTCCACAAGACCATTGAACAAAGAAGAAATGGGCATACATTGTTCATAATGCTGTGCAATGAGGATGCACCTGATTTAGCAATAGCAATAGCACTTAGACTTCTATACCACTTTACAGTGCTTTTACATCCCTCTCTAAGTGGTTTACAGAGTCAGCCTATTGCCCCCACCAATATGGGTCCTCATTTTACCCATTTTACTCAAAAGGATGGAAGGCTGAATCAACCTTGAGCCTGGTGAGATTTGAACTGTCAAATTGCAGGCAGCCGGCAGGCAGCAAAAGTAGCCTGCAGTACTGCACTGTAACCACTGCACCTCTGTGGCTCATTTAAACAAAATAGTATAGGTTTTAAAAACGCAGTTTTTAAAACAATCTAAGCATGAGTAACTCTCTTCCTCTTATAGAATGCCCTGGTGGATCGGAAAATGTATGCAACCAACATGGAATCTGTTTGGATGGCTTTGTGAATAATGGAACTTGCATTTGTAATGTAAGACTGGGTTTATTTTCTCCAAGAATGTTTTACTTGCAGTAAGCTAGACAGTTTATAGCCAAGACTATTCTTTTGGTGCATCATGTCTATGGAGATTCTCAGTCATTCAGGTCATAGTTGTTCTTTTTTCAAGAGACAATTGAACTTTCTTGTTCTTTGTTTCTTGTAAACATTTTGCTTCTCATCCAAGAAGCTTCTTCAGCTTTGACTGGAGCTGACCGCTCTTAGTCCCCCATTTTTAAAACAATTTTTGGTAAGATGTGTTAGTTCCATCTCTCTTCTTTACACGTGCGCCCTATTCTGGAATAATGATTACATGACTTCTTAAAAGAACAAAGGAGGAGATTTAATTTTAACGTTAACAAGGATGCAAATTGATAATAATGCGTATGGATGGATTCTTTGTATACTGTGTATTATCCCACAGAAATAAACCATTAGTGGTCTCCCAGGTGTTACTGAAACACACCTTCCAGCAACATTTGTTAGCAACATCAGTGAAAGATCTGCAGGAGTTGTAGTTCTGCAGCCCTTGTAAGACTACAATTTCATCAGCCTTATTGTTAGGAAAGCCAAGATCTTCCTTCCTCCTTCCTTCCTTCCTTCCTTCCTTCCTTCCTTCCTTCCTTCCTNCCTATATATATGTATATATGTATATATGTATATAGGCTTAGGCATAGGCTTAGGCTTAGGCTTAGGCTTAGGCTTAGGCTTAGGCTTAGGCTTAGGCTTAGGTTTAGGTTTAGGCTTAGGCTTAGGCTTAGGCTTAGGCTTAGGCTTAGGCTTAGGTTTAGGTTTAGGTTTAGGTTTAGGTTTATTAGATTTATATGCCGCCCTTCTCCCAAGGACTCAGGGCGGCATATATATACTGTATGTATGTATGTATGTATGTATGTATGTATGTATGTATGTATGTATGTATGTATCGTTTTGGACATGTTTATACATATATACTATATCATAAACAGTGGCAACTGTGTGTGTGAGTGTATCCAAAAGTTAAAATGGTAGTCACAACTGTACAATCAAAGACCCACCCCACTTTTATGTATGTTGCACATATATTGCTATATATTTTTAAAGCAGCTTCAATCACACTGTTTTAGCTTAATTTATTATTGTTGTTGTTGTTTAAAAGGTTATCTTAACTTTTTAGATTCCTCTTTAGATCGTTCACATTCTTTAATTTATAGGAATACAAAGCTCACATTGGAATATTTATTACAATACAAATGTACATGGGCCTCATCTAATGACTAACTGGATAATATTTTTTTACTGCTCATAAAGAGACATACTGTTAACTGCTTAAAAAGTTAGTATCTAATGGCAGAGCTCTAAGGCTATCAGAATATAAACTGTCCTGAGATGATAATTTACTGAATAGAAATATTTTACCCATCCATTCCTAGAGCTCCATAAGAACAGAAATAAATCAATAAAAACAGGCAATAGTGTTTTGCATGTTGATGAGCATTGAACTCCGTGCTATAATTCTACAATCCAAACCTTTGGTTTCTAAAATCATTTGTTGAGTCTTACACAGAGACTACTTTTAAGCAACCATAGGCATGTACATTTTCCATTTGATACAACAACTGTTCATTTCTAACTTCACAATCAAGCAATCCTTTATTCAGCGTAGCATTATTGTGACAGATGATAGAGCAAATATTCTCTGTTAATATCAGATACCAAAAGTTTAGAGAGAACTTGAGGATGACTTGAAGGACTGGATCTACAATTAATATTGGTCCAGATAATTGAAGGTAGGGAGGAGAAAGAGAAAGAAGGAAGAAGAAAGGAAGGAATATTGGAGGGAAAATGTAATCAATCATCAGCAGTATGGTTTGAAAATCAAACACTTCAAAGAAAGTAGGCTTAATGATAATTTCATATGGATTGTACTTCATAGCAAGAAATAACCAGGAAGCCACTATATTTATAAGCAGCATTTTTTTTCTACATTGCTATCTTATATTTCATGCTTTTATTGATTTGCTTTTATTCATTTGTTGCTGGTGAATTAAAAGTTGTCCTGATATCGTATAAATTTACCAACTAGGTTGTTAACAAAATCTAGTTCACTGGGTAGCCTTACTTCATTGTTAAATACACAGACTTCCATTCCAATGAAAAAAAAAAGAAAGGATTTCCTTCTGTCTGTTGTAACTGATAGAAGAGAGGAAACTTGTTAATGTTCCTGTTTTGGGTAATCCATTGTTTTCCTTTCTCAGAATCATTTTCATACTTACTATGCCTCCCTGCTTTTTCCTTTTAAATCTGCTGACAGTTGAGGCTTAGTCAAAATGCTGCTCCTTCTGAATAGTTAGGACTAAGAGATTTACATCATGCAAAGGCTTTCGCTCTTTTCTCATTTAACTTCACAGTTTTTTGGGTCCCATTTTTAGTAGGCGGTGTTATTTTATCAAACCGAACACTTCCCTTCCCGCTTTGAGCAAAGAGATTTCTTCTGCAAAAACATGCCAAGGAAAATTCTTGGATTAGTCTTGTTCACCCTAGCAACATGTGCAACTTTTCCAGCCGAAGGGCAGAAAAATGAGGTGAGTTTTCTTTTCTCTGAGGGGTGAAAAGCTTCAGTCGGCTCTGACATTTTAACTTGGAAATAAGCTCTGGTGAACTTGGGAAAATTAGCTTGCTTCTCAGGCAAAAGTGGTAGAATCTTTCAGCACTTAAAGGGGCAGCAGGATGTTTGAAAAGACGTTGAGTTGAAAGAATAAATATTACTTCAACTGGAGAAAGCATTCAGCTTCCCACTTAATTAGAGCTGTGTCTGTCCTTGCACTATGTGTATGGTTTGGGAAAATACATGTATAAGATTGCAAAGACTGATGCATTTTCATGAATTAAACAACTAACAACTTTTCATTAGAATTAGAAAGTTGGGTCAAGTGATTTGGCAATTCCTTTAGCATAACCTAACTATTTTTAATTTTTAGTGTAAATATTTGTAAAAGTTGAATAATTCCCTCTTGTCAATTATTCTTATTTAAACATTGATGGATGTATGGTCTAATCCAGGATTGCAATAGGGCAACCCCTTAACATTCCTTGAGGCCTCCCAGAGTAGAAAAAGTAAAAAAATTGATCTCCCTATTCCCACCCCACTTTTGGCGGTTATAGGGAAGCTAAGGGGGGAAATGCATGCCTTATGGCTTGCAAATACTTAAGACACCATTTCACCATTCCTTGACTTGCCAAATGGACCCTGGCCCTATCCACTTTTGTTGTGGGATCTTGGCAGGGTTGTGGAAATTCTACGCAAGTCTTTGATCCCGGTGAACCTTACCACCCATGTTTTTATTTAATTCAACTTTGCAAGATTTCTTCCCCCTTCCCCTAATATATTGGAAATCTGATGGTCCACCAGAGCCTGGTCTCAAAAATCACTAGGAATTGGGTGGCATGTACATTTTAAATAAAATTTTAATACATTTCAAAGAATAAATTATTATGTTGGTTGCAAAATCAGCTAGATGTTTAGACTGGATTTTGCATTTTTATTCATCTATTAATCCTTCCCAAGAATCTGGGACAGGCAGATGATGTATTATTTTTATTATGGTTGGTTGCACAGTCTGCCAGATTCTTCTTCATCATCCTCTTCCTCCTTCTCATCATCATCACATTCCAATCTCCAGAATTTATTTTGAACTCTCAGTCCTTCCATATATACTTTTCCATAATGAATCAAGAATTATAATTTCAGCTGCATAATTTTAGGAAAAGAAAAATAATGTTATTCCTGGTTGTAAAACAACTTATTAGCAGATCTCCTTGCCAATCTATTGCTGTTTACTCAAGATCTGTAAAAAAAATATCACATCTTGAACAAACATTTATGAAGTTAGAATGGATCAAAAAGTAATTATTGATAAAGATCCTAATAATGTAAGTGTTTTTTAGATACAAAGAGTTATGAATAAATGTATGTCTTCAGGCCAGTCATTGTTCCCACCCCAACCCACCTCACTCTGTTGTGGGGAAAATAGGAGGAGGAAGGAGTATTAAATATGTTTGCCACCCTGATTATTTATTTAAAAATAAGTAAATAAATCTGTAGAGGACATCAGAAGTGGGAGAGAATCATATAGGAAAATGGATTTGTCCCCTTCTGAGAAAGAAACTAGGGCTATGCAGCAATCCAGTTTCAACAGGAAAAGATGATTTGGAGAAATCTGGATATGTTCAAAGCATTTCTCATCCTTTATCTTAAAACAGGAATCTTTATCTTTTCTTGAGATCACACAGCTGCAAAGTGTATAATTTTGGGTGCTCTAGGAGCACCTGTAGAATCCAAATCATTTCCCCTGTTGAATCTGGATTTCTGAGAGCATTTAAAGAGCTATGTTGAAACTGAGCTTATCCAAATTTAAAGAACTCAAATAGGATGAATTCCAATAACCCTCCCGACCCCTCCCCGACCCACAAAAAAAAACTGTAGAATGATGCTGTGTTCATATAAATCTGAACAGAACAGGAAAATAAAATGGAAACTTCATTCATTATATGTGTCTTTATAATAATATGAATAACAGTATTATGTGGCTAAAGTCTTTTTTTATATATATAAATGTCTTGTTGCTATGTACAAAAACCACAAAAAGAGAAAGGGAATTTACATTACTTTCTAGTGCTTAAACAAATACATCATATTACCATACAATAAACACAAAATGTTAGGAATGTGTCAACAATAATGGTGTAGTGGGTTCGAAGAGGACTGGGTGTATTGACACTGCGCTAAAAGTCTAAAGAATTACATTCAGAACTGTGATGTTGTCATTTATTGCCTGCAACAGGGAGCAGACTACTGAAATGTTACCATTTGCAGAATGGGATTATTTTCCAAATTAGAACATTGAGCCAATAATTTAATCTAATCCAGCAATGATTTGTCTGTATAATTTGGTTTTAACTTTTTAAAGTTAACTTTTTAAAACCCATTTTAATGGGTTCAAGTGTTTGTGTTTATTTAGAGTATATTTCCATAACATATGGAATAGAATCTTGCACTTATTGAAAAGTACAGTACAGCAATAGGAATGGAGTGGGCATCCACTTCCCAGAGAAAACTCACATATCAACTGCTGAACTGGAGAGACTTAACAGAACCAAATAAGAGAGTTGAATGGGACCTTATAGATCATCTAATCCAACCGCTCGCCCAAGCAGGAGACCCTACACCATTTCTGACAGATAGCAGTCCAATCTCTTTTTGAAAGTCTCAAGTGATGAAGCCCCCACAACTTCTGAAAGCAACTCTTCCATTGGTTGATTGTTCTCACTGTCAGAAAATTTCTCCTTATTTCCAGGTGGAATCTCTCCTTGTTCAGTTTCTATCCATTATTCCTTGTCTGGCCTTCAGGTGCTTTGGAAAATAGGTTGACTCCCTCCTCTTTGAGACAGCCCTTCAAATATTGGAACACTGCTATATGTCTCCCCTGGTCCTTCTGTTCATTAGATTAGCCATGCCCAGTTCCTACAACCATTCTTCATATGTTTTAGCCTCCAGTCCCCTAATCATCCTTGTTGCTCTTCTCTGCACTCTTTCTAGAGTCTCAACATCTTTTTTATAGTGTGGTGACCAAAACTGGATGCAGTATTCTAGGTGTGGTCTTACTAAGGCCTTATAGAGTGATATTAGTACCACACCTGATCTTGATGCAACTTAGAATTGCATTGGCTTTTTTGGCTGCCATTGCATACGGTTGGCTCATCAATTAGATGCTGGTCACGTTCAGAGGAGTCATTCCTTCACAGAGTTATATTTGTATCTGGATTGAGAACAGGGACCTTGCTACTATGGTCAAATATGTAGAAGTAAGATATGTAGATGTGAGAGCCAATCTATTCTTCCTCAAAGAAACAACAGAGCACCAGAAAAGATAAATACCTTGCTCCAGCCTCTTATCTGCTTGCTCTCTGCTCCCCTCCTCCAAATTCCCCAGGCA